GTGCCCACTGCTGAGCAAAGGCCTCTTCTCACACGGAGAAGGTTTGAACATTAGTCACCACGCTTGTTCAGGGCGGATTGGCGGATAATAAGTAATTTAAAGCCATCGTTTCCTCGAGATACCTTCCTTCTTATTAATCCCTAACTTCCAAAAGGCTAGCCAAGCACTTGTTTGCTTACCATCAGGTGACCAGACTGCTCATTTGACGGCTTAAACCTATATCTATCTTCATCAATAGACTCGACATAGTCCATAACTGGCTTTTAAATCTTCTCATCAAAAGAAGGTTTGTCATTATCTGAATATTAGGAAGGTTGGTTGCAGAAACTAGAGTCCGTTGTCTTTTAGACTTCAGATTTGGACATCATAGGGATGAATCCTTACATCCCTTAATAACCCACATGATTCAGCAAATCCTTTAGTATATCGAGTAGGTATCCATGGGCGGCGCTGATTGCTTACCATCAGGTCATCCGTCTACTATTACTGTAGTGACATAAAAAAGAACGAGTAAACTGACAGAAATATTTAACTGACACAACTAGACTTCGTTTACAAGATTCAAAATTTAAAAATCGAATTCTAACGTTCAGTTTCGCGCAGCGCTCAAACGAAACTGATTGGTGATTGAGTGACTGATACTACACTGATGCGAGTAGAATGCATAATGTATGCCAGTGATAATGACGTAAGACTAGGAATCGAAGACCTGCATTTTGGTATTGATTTGAATATGTGTGATAGGGATTTAGCTTAAGAGATTAGTGCTATTTCGCAGTACAATTTTGTTCTTAAATTGCATTGCAATTGAGTAACTAGAGACTAATTAATTATCTACCACTATTTAATGGATGTTATCTATATATATATATATATATATAAACCTTCGATCCATTTAAGCGTACATAGGGATATAGGGACAGAGAAAGCGACTTTGTTTTATACTATGTAGTGATACGACTTTTTACTAGGAAATCAAGGAAGCCAAATAAAAGAGATGCCTTTTTTGTTGAGTACCTCATATCTATTAATAAAATAGATTTGGCAACTATTTCAAGACATTTAAAAAGATACAAATCTTAGTACAACTATATTTTTCAATCATACTTACCTAAGCACATGAATTACTTTAAATAATATCTCTCAAAAACCAGTTAAATAAGATCATCAAATTCAAATATTCTTCGATAACAACGATATTGTCTGTGTGAGACACATATACATAGCATACATTATGTATTTTAATTACCATATTTATGTATGAGACCATTCAAGTTCCACTGTGTTTACGTCATACAACAAAAATGTCATGCAATTCCACACAAATACCTTTCCTACTAGTCATACATGTTACAAGATAGTAACTAACAAGTTTTATCTCCAAAAGAGGTGAGCATCAGTCTATAAGTGCCCACTGCTGAGCAAAGGCCTCTTCTCACACGAAGAAGGTTTGAGCATTAACCACCACGCTTGCTCAAGGACGATTGGCGATTTCAAACTTTTAACTATTATAAGTCCAGATTTCCTCACGATGTTTACCTTCACCGTATGTCAGTGGTATCTAAATAATCATAGAAAGTTCATATAATTCGGAAAATGTCACATTGGTACTTGCCAGAAGGAGAAAAGGAACCCGTAACCTCTGAACCAACCTGCACATTTTAATATGATATCCCTAACTAATCAAACGTGGTGATTATGTCAAACCCCTCTTATGTAGAAAGCTCATAAAAGTTCATCAATGGGATCCAGGGGCTATTAAGAGTGATTTATTTTCTTCTTGCTTCTTACTCTTGCTAATATTGTAAATGCGAAAGTAACGATGTTTGGATGTTCGTTACTCAATCACGCCAAAACGGCTGGACGGATTTGGTTGAAATTTGGCACAGGCATAGGATACACTCCGGAATAGGACATAGGCTACTTTTTATTAGCATACTACGCAGGCGAATCCATGGGCGGAGGCTAGTAGCTATGCTTTTTACGACCAATCGAACCTGATACTCCAAGCTCCCAAGACTCACACACGTTTGACTGCAACGAAATGATCATATACCTACTACATACAATCTACGGCAATGTCAATTTACCGCATATCTAACGTAACATCAAACCACAATTTCCCGGAGGAGTAAGCACAGATATTGCTTGCTGGTATATTAATACCGACCACCTATATATGTAGATATGTCTGTCTAGTTATAAGTTAATCTTGGTCGCTTTTTGTTTCTTAAGAGATAAAATTAAGTTCCTACAGGAGTTCGGTATCGACTAAAGTCAAAGTCAAACTATAATTATAGGTACTTTTGAAACGTTAAAATAGAATAGTAGTCTGTCAGTCTGTTTGTCAGTGAAGCTAGCTGCTAAAAGGTTACATGTATATTTTAATTGATATTCTATATTTTTTCCTTTAGTTTAAACAAAGCCAAAATGGCACTCACATGAAAAAAACCGCTGTCTTGTTTCTCGTCATAAAAAAAACTCAATTCACTTCAAATGTAACCTTTTGAACTTTGACGTTTTGATATTAATTACTTATTTAAACATTAATACTACATTATGATTTATATATGTATGCAAAACAAAAGCAACGCCAATCATTAAAATAACAATACAAAAAAATATCCACTACACATTTTGACAACCCTATCCATTCAAAAAAACTGAACCGTCTTACTCTATGGTACACGGCGGAAGAGCTTGTTTGTGTCTGGGTGTCGATGACAGAAATTATAGTTTTAAAGAAAACACAGGTCCGGCCGGCATAATAAACTAGTCTTAGGTAAATTAATACAAGTTTTTACAAGTGTTTTACTCAGTTGCCTTCATTTTAAGACGATTTTGGAGTTGAATTTTATTTAAGTATCCTAGTTATTTCAATATTGTATTGAACCTTACCTAATCAATACTAATATTATAAAGAGGTCTTTTTATAAGTTTGTATGTAAGGGGTAATCTGATAGGTAAATCTATCTAGCTACAATGTTCCTGAATGCTATAGGCTATACATTGTACTTGATTGGCGTATTTAGTCGAGCTATCGCTTTAAGCGCTGCTGTTTTAAATATTCCACGCGAACGGAGTCGCGGGCATAAGCTAGTATCTACATAAAATCGAAAACTCACTTAAGCCAATACGACACGCAAAGCCAGAAACTCATTCTAATACAAGAAAAGCGAGAACATAGCATCAAAAATATTATGTAACGTCATAAGCACGAAAAAGAGGAAGCCAAAAACAGTCTAAAAATAAACCACGTAATAGAGAAATATCAGGAAAACACAAGATGGTTACAATTGACGAAAATTTACAATAGGCTCTCTGAGTTTATGCCTTTGCCCGCTGAATACAAATGCGACAGAAATAAATATTACAACTCTATTCGCAATATGGCGGCGACGCGCGACGCGGTGTCTTCCCGATATTATTATTATTGTTTATTTTAAGACAGAATCATCAGTGGTTACAAGTTTATTTGCATTTTAATCTTCGATTTTGGTAATGGACAAATTTGTTAATGAGGGATTATCGATTTATAATATTGTACAAACATATTTGATTTGGTTTTTATACTCCGAAATGATGATCGTAAGTACCTATCATCAGTCAATCAACCCTCACGTTGTGTTTCGCCGTGTGAGTGAGGTTACCGGAGACCTCATACTCCCCCCCCCCCCCCCAATCCTCAATCCCCTATCTTTAAATCCCAAATAACTCACAAGAGGTCGGCAACGCACTTGTAGTAACTCCTTTGGTACTACGAGTGTCCATGGGCGGCGCTGATTGCTTACCATCAGGTAATCCGTCTGCTCGTTGGCCGTCTTATACCATAAAATAGACGATTTGTGATATCTCCACACGTACACGAGTGGAGATGGCAGTTTAAAAGGTTCAAGATTTTACGTTTCGTTAATTAATGTGTTGTTGTGTATATTTTGAAATGAAGCTAAGATTCCATCATAAGGCCCACTGCTAAGCAAAGGACTCTTCTCACACGGAGATTGGCGATTTCAAACTTAGAATTAGAAGTTATAAGTCCAGGTTACCTCACAATGTTTTCTTTCACCGTATGTCAGTGGTGTTAAATAATCATAGAAAGTACATATAACTCGGAAAAGTCACTACGACAACTAGATTATTCCTAAGATACACCTAAGGCTACAAAAATAGTCAAAATAACTAGTCAACGTTGATGAAGCCACACACAGAAACTAGCATAAAAATATACTTATTTTTTGCTTCATTTTACCAGGCCAGGTAACAAGTAATTTCTTGTATACCACCTACCACGTAAAGCCTTATGACGCATAAAACAAAGCCGTAAGCTACAGAACGGAGGCAGCTTCGGCTACCATCGGTACAAGTTCATTTAATTTCGTTAGACAATTCATAAACGTCTAAATTGGTTTTTATAGGAGAAAAAATTCACGTTAATATGCGTGTAAAAAGTTTAAGTATATAATAAGGATAAAATTCTAATAATTTTACGCTTTTTTTAGCCTAGAGAGTCAAAGAAAAATAGGTACCTACAATGTCACTCTCACTTTTCACAAATCTCATTTTGAATGGTAAAAGTGACTGCCTTTGGCAGAAATCTTTCGATGGGAAAGATATGCTTCAGCACGAATGGGTCGGCTCGACCGGAGTGATACCACGGCCTCACAGAAAACCGGCGTGAAACAACCACAACGTTGTATTATGCCTTGTGAGACTGGTTCTTGCCGACGGCCCAATTATTCCCTTCCCCCATCTAAACGACTATCTATTCTGAAAAATGCCCAAAATTCGGCAACTCCTCCGGTTTTACGGGTGGCGACGGCGACGATTACTTACCATCAGGTAATCCGCCATATGACATAAAAGAAAAATCAACTCCACACACTCCAACGTTTGGTTCAAAGTTCTCGTTTCTATAAAAGTGTGAAATACATAAAAACTATGTAACATTCGTCATGAGTCACGACCAGGTCAAACGTTTTAATAAAAAAAAAATAACTTACCTGACACAACAACAGCCAAGAGTAATCCAAAAAGCGCGGGAATAGCAGCCATCTTGAAAATCACTTTTTTTCAAATCAACCAATCACAAAACACTTATGGCATTCGAAATTCGAACCAGCATACTAGGCGATGCGTTCGTTAAACGGACACTTAACCGGTTTGATCCAGAACTTTTGTCTTGCTTACACTTGCAGCGAAAGTATTGTTGTCTCCTTCACTCTGTAACAAAAAAAGAAGGAAAATAAGGCTTTGGGTTATAGACACGCTGTGTTTATTCCATGTTACGTAATTTGAAGCTTCCAGTCAAGGTAAAAAGTAAGGATGAGGTTTGAAAGGATTAAATATGTATAATATTGCGGTTGTTTTTCCATATATATTATTTTATTATCATATTTAACTTTCACAAAGGGGTCTTTACTTGATTTATATTAGTGTTTTTTAGCTACAAACAAGATTCTATTACCCGATATTTTCTTTGTATAACGTAAACCTATAGAAATCGATTTAAAATAAGATTAGTAACGTGTCAAAACGAAGTCATTGTCCAACAATCTGATTGGCTGTTGATAATGCAATCAGCCAATCACAGTTACTGACAGCCATTTGACAGATCGTTTTCTAATTTCTGCTTTTGAAATTTAGAAAATATTGGCACAATTACAATGGTTTTCAAATTTTGTTTCGTCCTTGTGACGTCAATAGTTTTTATCTGGAAAGGCTGATGAACTGCTAACGTCGAGTTTTTTCAGTGTTTTAAGTACTTTTTGCCTCAAACAGTAGTTTTAACAGAAACGTATAACTGCAAAGAAAGAAAATCATTCGTAACTTATTCACGAATATACATTTGGTAAATTAATCATCTATAAACTTTAATAAATCCCGTTATAATAATAATAATATACCCAGCAGTAAAATTAGACGTATGAATAAAATCTACTATCGTAAAAAACAAAGCTGGTTATACAACCTCTTCGGCCAACCTCTATATCCCACCGGCCGTTTGTCTATGAAAGATGGACGCATCAATTTAGCGGGTAAAAAAATTGAGGTTATATTATTTAGAAAAGGTTGGGTGGCACGGAGTATTGTTGGATGGAGTACGCACTTTGAATGAGTGATATAACGTGAAACTACATTTACTTGTTTATATTGTTAGTTTTATAACTCTTTTATTATTATAATTGCTTTCTCTTGCTGATATTTTTAAGCGTGGTACTTCGTTTATTCTTTAATGCTGATACTAAATTTCTCCACTATTTAATGGATGTAATTATAAATATAAACTGAACATTTAACCAAACTTCCAAGCTAACGGTGAACAAATCCGCAACCTTTCTTCGGTATTCTCTACCTAGGTTTGTCCAGCAGTGCATCATCAGACTATAAGTGCCCACTGCTGAGCAATGGCCTCATCTCACACGGAGACGGTTTGAGCATTAACCACCACGCTCACTCAAGACGGATTGGCAATTTCAATTAGAAATTATAAGTCCAGGTTTCCTCACGATGTTTACCTTCACCGTATGTCAGTGGTGTCTAAATAGTCATAGAAAGCACATATAACTCGGAAAAAGTCACACTGGTAATATAAATGTGCCGAACTGGTACACTCATGCATGAGAAGCGGGCGCCTTAAACACCGGGCCGACGTTTCATCATGATGGGTACTCCTAACTTTTATTTTCCATGGTCAGCGTTACGAAGTTGATTATAAGAGTATATTTCTTAGTATTTACCATTTAGCAGTAATGGAGAATGGAATATATGAACTGAGACGGTCTTGTTACTTTGACGTAGCATTTTCTAGAATAAATATGCTTGAGGTATTATACTTGGATCTATCGGTTTAGGTAATTAAGTAAGTCTAAACAATGTTGGCATCATTGGCATGTCTTTTTAATGTAAAAGTTGTCTTAAAATTTGTTTATGATGAAAATGTTTACTATGAGGTATTTAGCTAAATCGATGGTAGCTAATGAATTGAATTTAAATAATTTTTGTATGTATTTTATTAGACCTTTTGAATATAAACTAATATACCATAGGAACGTTAACATTTTTGGTTAATTTTTATTGTAATTAATATGCTATTTATGCTTCTCTGTATACACGTGTTACACTGTTCTCACATAATCAAAACAACTAAATAATGTATCAAAGAATCTTTATGTGACACTAATTTAAAAAGAGTAACCATGGAGTTTGTTGCTCGTTCTTCTCCATCAGAATCTACACTTTGGAACGAGCAAATAGCTTCACTAAGAGGACTGACTGACAGACGGACACTATATCTTCAAAATTTAGTTTGACGTTCAAAAGTGCCTGTAAGGATCGAATTGGAATAAAGTTTTTTGACTTTATTAAATAAGAGCTGCCGTATTAAATACAAAACAATTTTGAATTTCGATTATCTACGAAAAATAAAGTTTTGCCCTACCCGTTCCATTCTGCCATTTTCAGAGAAAATATAATGATAACAGATTCCTTATTATTGATTATATTCTGTAACCAATAACAAGAGATATGGTTAACGAATCATTACAAGAATCTGTGTACGAATGTTAAAACGAAAACTTGACATGCAAAATCAAAAATGCGTATTGAGAAACATTTATAAATATTTCATTCCTACGTTTTTTATTGAAATAGAAGTAACCATTTTGTTAATACAATGCTAAACCCTCAAGCTATAATTAAATAATACATTCGTTTTAAACTTTTCCATTTAATCCTCGCCATTATAGCGACACAGGGACAGAATTCAATTAGAAATGTAACGGACACGCGCGGCCATCTTGGAAATTAGAAATTATTAAACCAATTATGTTCTATGTTGATCGAGCGTCGGTAGAGGGCGCCTTAGACGTCACACGTACTTAGTCGTGTAGTGTTCAAATGTAAACAGCAGCTCATGTAGTGTAGATGTCCAGTCAACAAGTATGTAGCGAGGTTGACTGTCCAGGCGACACACGTACTTAGGTATCGTCATGAGCTAATGTTCACATGTAAACAGCAGCTCATGTAGTGTAGATGTCCAGTCAACAAGTATGTAGCGAGGTTGACTGTCCAGGCGACACACGTACTTAGGTATCGTCATGAGCTAATGTTCACATGTAAACAGCAGCTCATGTAGTGTAGATGTCCAGTCAACAAGTATGTAGCGAGGTTGACTGTCCAGGCGACACACGTACTTAGGTATCGTCATGAGCTAATGTTTACATGTAAACAGCAGCTCATGTAGTGTAGATGTCCAGTCAACAAGGATGTAGCGAGGTTGACTGTCCAGGCGACACACGTACTTAGGTATCGTCATGAGCTAATGTTCACATGTAAACAGCAGCTCCTGTAGTGTAGATGTCCAGTCAACAAGGATGTAGCGAGGTTGACTGTCCAGGCGAAACACGTACTTAGGTATCGTCATGAGCTAATGTTCACATGTAAACAGCAGCTCATGTAGTGTAGATGTCCAGTCAAAACTCAGTACTCACCTTAGTTATAAAGTTGGTTTATACCTAACATTCACGTTAGTGCATTGACTCGGCAGCGTGTGTGTGTTTATTTGTATCTCCCAGCCGTTCTCACGAACATGTGCTGTAGTGATGGCAAAACAAATTCGAGGGAACGGTAGCGCGTTGATTGAACTTAACTGTTTATTTTGCTGTCGATACGTATACTATATATACGTCGGATTTTTATTTAGATTTTCATGAAGTTTCAGAGCGGATTCTCGTTTTAATTGTGATTTCAGTGAGGCGAGTGCTTTTACAGTAATTTTCAGGAGCGAGTGACAATTCAAACAAACGACTGTTGTGTTTTTTTTTTCAATTTTTATCCGTTTTTAATGATGAGTTGAAACGATGTATATTTTGTTATTTGATATGTCTCATGTTTTTATTGTTTTTTTTATTCATGACATAAGTCGGCAAACGAGCAAGCGGATTACCTGATGGTAAGCATGGTAATTGGACCCATGGACATTCGTAATACCAAAGGAGTTACTACAAGGGCGTTGCCGACCTCTTGTGGGTTATTAGGGATTTAAGGATAGGGGATTTGAGATTTGAGGATGGGGTAAAAGAATTGGGACTCCGGTAACCTCACTTGCACAGCGAAATACAACGCTGAGTTTGTTTCACGCCGGTTTTGGGATCGGGTTTTGTGATTGTAAAAATGTCCAAATCTCTAACCTAACCTAAATCTTAAAATCCCTAATCCTACCAACGTCAGCAACGCACTCGTAACTCTTCTGTTGTTATAAGTGTCCATGCGCGGCGCTGATTGCTTACCATCAGGTAATCCGTCTGCTTGTGTGATCGATTCCCTGTGAAGCCGTGGTTAAGTCAGCCCATTCGTACAGAAGTATGGTTCCCACGATTAAAAAATTCCCAGTTAGTCATAATCAACAAAAATTAAAAGTTAACTATATTGTTTACTAACGGTTAGCGTCGACATAAACCGTTTATAACAAGGTTAAACATATCAACCAATCAGCGTTGAGCTGCTGACTGTCCTGCGCCGGCGCATCCGGTAGCCGAAAATAAAACTGTAAAGTGACAATGAAAAGTTATAAATTAATTCGTATTTCTGGATACAGTTTTGTTCTTAGAGTTTTTTGCTGTTTTTAGTTTATATATATTTATATTATATAAAAATGGATCGCAAAATGTGTTGGTAAGCGCATAACTCAACAACGCCTGGACCAATTTTGCTAATTCTTTTTTTGTTGTGTTTGTTATTGTCAGGAGAAGGTTCTTATCTTAGAAAATATTAGAAAAGTAGAGGGGAAGATGAGGAAAAAGTGACCCATTGATAGCGAGATACTTGGACCCGTGCGAAGCGGGGGCGGGCCGCTAGTATATCTATAAAAATCAATGCCACTTTTCGTTGTAATGTTATAACTCAACAATGCCTTCACCGATTTGGCTAATTCTGGTCTTGAATTATTCGTGGAAGTCCAGAGAAGGTTTGTAGGTACAGGAAATTTAAAAAAATCTTTAAAAAGTGTTAACTCTACATTATTATATGCGGGCGGAGCCGCGGGCGACCGCTAGTTGTATTATAAGATTAAGTTTTTTACTAAGCAAAAAGCGCCGTCAGTCTGTTCGTCATAAACTCCAAAGAAATGTATTATTTTTATGGGATAAGTCGGCAAACGAGCCGGCGGCTGATGGTAAGCAATTCGCCTGTGGACACCAGCAACACCAAAGGAGTTTCGAGTG